AGATAGATAGATAGATAGATAGATAGATAGATAGATAGATGGTTATTTCCCACGGCACATGAAGGCAGCAGGGCGTCAAACCCGGACATGCGCAGTAGCGCCCCGGACTAACGGTTCCAGCAGGAGGCAGCTGCGCGTCACGTGATCTGATATCAGGTCTACTGAGCTGAGAAAAGAAAACAGGCCCAAAGTCAAAGTTTAAAATGAGATATTCTGATTTATTTTTATTTATTTTAGTCAGTTATCTGTTTCTTATATTAATATATGCATATCCTTTCATTTTCTTATGGAAAAACTATCAAGTTGTCATTGTTTTATTTTAAAATCAGCTCATTTTTTTTACAGGGATTGTTTACAAAACTTATGAAAGAGAAACTTTAAGGAGTTTTAAACTCATTTAGTGGAAATCAGAGCTGATTCTGGAGGAGAAAAGCAGAAATTTACTGTTAAAATGTGAGATATTCTCATTTATTTTTATTTATTTGAGTAATTTATGAGATTCTTTCATTCATTTGTTGGATTATTTCATTTTATTGAGGAAAAACTGACACATTTTCATCCTTTTAGTCACATTTGAACCCTTTTTTTAACCCTCTTTTAGCCACCAAACTGGAATTGATGGTTTAATCTGAGCAAAACACAACAAACTGGCTGAACGGCTTCATGGAAAGCAGAGTTTTTCCTCACAGTGACCTCTGACCTTTGACCCCTGAAGCAGAAAACCCTGTTCAGACACATGAGAAGCCTCCAAATGCACCATTTTTCTGTTTTTCTCCTCCAGAATCAGCTCTGATTTCCATTAAATGAGTTTAAAACTCCTTAAAGTTTCTCTTTCATAAGTTTCGTAAACAATCCCTGTAAAAATATGAGCTGATTTTAAAATAAAACAATGAAAACTTGATTTTTTTTCCATCAGAAAATTAGATTATTTGCATGTCTCACATTTAAACTTTGAATTCCTGCTTTTCTCCTCCAGAATCAGCTCTGGTTTACAGACAGAAGCAGAAACATGAGTTCAGGAATTCAAACAGGTTAATTAAATACATTAAACTATTATGTCAGACGTTTGTGATGATTCCTGTCATCTAACACAAATTATGGCAGAAAAACA